GTGGCTTGCCCCGGCCAACCTCCGAGAAGACAAATGAGTTCAGTCGTGTAGGCGCGATTTAGCACCCCAGCCAAGCAAGACTGACCCGGATGTGATTAACCCGCCGAGCCTCCATAGAAACGGACGCCACTGAGGCCTGCAAGAGCGAAAGATGCTGGGCGCTGCACAAGTGCGTCTCACAAGCCTCACGTGAAGGCTCCTCAACCTGGCATGCCGACGCTTGCTTGCCCTGCTTGGCAGGAGGAAGCGACCAGTGCGTGAGCCTCTGTCCGCGTGTCTGAGGCCATCGACATTGCCGATGCTGCCGAGACTGCCGATGCCTCCCTTGGCAGCGCCTGCAGCAAAGAAGCAAGGAGTTGCAGCGAAACAGATTCAAAACGAGAAGGCAATCAGCAGTCAGGTCCAACAACGTCCAAGAAGAGAACCATGTAGACTTGCATTATGGCGAGAGCTATGGCTAACATCTTGTCCTGGCGCTCCGATCTGTTTTCGGGGCAGAGCTGGGCCAAGCTTTCGAGACTGTGGCATGACCGCCGGCACGGCCCGGCACCTTCTCTCTGCGGCGGCGCCGAGTCGACACTGAGCGCTTTCTCATTTCGCCCTGCCAGGAAACGAGGGAACTCGAAAGCTGCGGGCAGAAGACAGCCTCACCCCACAACCCCACAGCATCCCGGTATCTTTGAGAGCGGGCGCCCTCCTCCCCCGATGCATCTCACATGCTGAGAATCGCCTCTGCCGTCTCCGAGGCCTCCATCTCTGGAACCTGCCGCATCCCGAAGTCCAAAAAACCCGAGAAGGCAGCTGGGCCGAAGGGCCTGGGCTTCCTTGGCCTCCTTCTTCCGTCGAGAACTGGAGCGAGTGGAGCGCTTCACCTAAACAAAAGCTCCGGCGCACGGCTCCACTTCCGGCCCTCTCCCGCACGGCTCCGCCCTTTTGCGGCAACTCCGGCCTTGAGCGGCTCCGTTCCCTGCGCCGGCGCAGCCTCACCAACCTCGGAGGCCTCCGCTCCGCTCTGCTCCGCTCTGCTCTCCGCCCCGGCCCGGCCCCGGCCCCGCCGGGCGCGCCTTGGAAGCCGAAGAACTCGAGCGGTTGCCGGAGCCAGAGGAGCGACCGTTCGTGTCACGAGAAGAGCGGGAAGTCGAGCGCTCCGGCCGAGAAGAGGCTCGGGGAGGCTTGGGCAAGGCCCCCTGCACTGCCGCACTGCCGCACTGCTGCACTGCCGCACTGCCGCACTGCACTGCAACTGCACCGCAAGTAAACGTAAGAAAACCGACCTCTCCCAAAGCGCAAGGAGCTCTGACAAAGCTGCTATAACTCTTCGGAAGGAGAAGGGTGGGCTGGGTTCTTCCTTTTTTTCTTCTTGTTTTATTTTGAAAAGAAAAGAGAGAAGAGAGAGAGAAGAGGCGGAGAGGGAGAGAGTTGGCGCGGAGAGTCCGCTTTCGGCCTCCGGCCCTGGCTTCGGCGGCTTCGCTGCGCCGTAAGAACCGCCTGGCGGAGCCGCCGCCGCTTCTTCCGCTTCCGCTTCCGGCGCTGCCGCTGCTGCGGCCGCTGCGGCTGCGGCCTCCCGACTCAACTCAACTCTCTCTCTCAACTCTCTCTCTCTCTGCTCTCTCTCTCTGCTCTCTCTCTCTGCTCTCTTCAGTGAGAGAAGAGGCGAGAGAGGCGCCCGTTATGCGTTGCCCCCCGGCGGGCGGGCCGCGCCTTCTCCTTCTTCGCTCGCCGATGGGAGCTCCTGGGAGCTGCGGAGACGGCCTCGAACAGGAGGACTTGGGAAAGAGTGCTCCGCGAAGGCTCCGCGCCGCGCCTCCGCCTCCTTTTGCTTCTCGGGCTTCTCTTCAACCTCTCACGGACGGGGGTTCGGAGCCAGGACGAGGCGGAGGGAAACTTGGCCTTCTCTGTCCGCTGCAGGGTGATCTCCTTGGGGCACAGGCCCAAGAAGTCTGCCGCCTCCTCCCAGACTGAAGAGTTCCGTCAGCATCTCTGCCCGAACCCAGCCCAAAGGCCTTCTTGGAACTCTTCCGGCTCCCTCGTCCACTGCTCTCCTACAAAGCTCAAAGCAAGATTTCAGGGGTTTCTGGAAGGTCAAGACGTCGGTGTCAATGTGTCTCCTCCGATGGATCGTTTTTCGGCAAACACAGTCTCGACTTTGAAGGTTAAGAAAGAAAGGTGCGCGATCACAAAACGGAAACAGCCAGGTCCAGTGCAACTTCAAGTCTGCGAGAGTCGGCGCGCTTGAAAAAGAGTTCAATATCGTGACTAATGGATCTAATGGATTTCCTCAATCGGAAAACGATGGCCTGGCTTGAAGCGCCAAAACAAAGAAGTGGATCCGAGCGGATCAGAAAACGTTTCCTCTCTGTGCTCGGAAAAACCGCGCGACCCGAAGGGCAGGTTCTGACAGATTGATACATGACACTTCTCGAAGTGTGGCATGTGCTTTACGAAGTTCCAATACATCCGAATTTCGCAGAAACCTCAAAACATCTTCTTCTTCAACATTTTGTTCTCTGCTGTCTTTTCATTTGATTCACTCCCCCTTTTGACTTTGCTTTGCTTCGCCAGAAAGGGCAGCAGTCCATCCACCATTTTGGTTGATGGGCTCGGCTGTACGCGGAACTTACTTAGCTTGCGCGGGTGCCCTCGTCCATTTTGACTCTTTCTTCACTTTGACTCTTTCCTCTCTCTTGCTTGCACGCAGCCAAAGAGGAAGCCGTCCAAGCCCCCTCTTGCGCACATGTCCTCTCTCTCTCGCTCTCTCTCTCTCTCTCTCTCTCTCTCTCTCTCTCTCTCTCTCTCTCTCTCTCTCTCTCTCTCTCTCTCTCTCTCTCTCTCTCTCTCTGCATTACCATGTCTTGGCCTGCGCCTTGGACGCAGTGGAAACCACGGACGGCGCCGAAGGCTCTGGCTCCGGCTGGCCCATGGAACCGTCCTCCCAGGAAGTGGAGAACAACGAACCGCGGCCTTTTCAGGGAGTTCGTTGGATTTCTTTTTCTTGGTAGATTTTTGGAAGCAAAAAGGTGGAGCGGCGGGGGTAGGGCGGATGTCGGGGTGGCAGGAGCAATCATCACCTGTTCCCGTCTTGGCATTGAAAACATGTCAAGTCAAAGCCATGGCTTCCAACCAAAGATTTGAGCATTCAGGTCCGTAGCCGTGTCGTATGACGGTACCAGAGCCACAACAGGCCAGAACGCTGTTACGCAGCACTGAGTGTATCGCATCGAGAAAAATTAACATGTAGAACTGTAGAATGTAGACTACAAGCCAACTTGCAGCAAAAAAAGGAAAAGGCGATTGGCGATGTCATGATCTGTCGAAGAGACGCATGCTATATGCCAACGCCACAAAGCAGAACAGCAGAACTGTCCAAAGCTGCTTCAGGAGACACTGGCAATCGAATGACTAAACAGTTCGCAGAGCTCGTAGCCCGGTTGTGCAAGTATCACCGGTGAGACATATCGCCCCGAAATGAACGAGGAGAAACAAGCTTCAGACGCTGTGCATCCGAGTCAGGATACTTTCTTAAAGAAGGAGGTAATCAATCGACGAGGATGTTGATCGTTGCAGAACCACCACCTTTCTGTCTTTGCTCGAGCTTTTTCATGGACGCTTCATCCTCTTCGTCATCATCACCATCATCATCAATAGATGCTGGAACTTCAGATGTACGGACACAGGCGGTCCACGATGCCCGGCGCTCTTCAGCGGTATTCGGATCTGAGGAAGTGGATGTGTCTGGTCTTCGTTGGCACCAACACTCGAAAATGTCGGGGCCGCTTGTGATCACTGAACCGCCGGGACGAACAACCGTGGATGCGCCGGCAGTAGAAAAGCTTTCCACGGCGTCTTCGGGCATTCATTGCGGGCCCGGAAATCCCGCATGTCCGTGTTGGCAAAGTCATTGGCATTGACGTGGACAGTGGACAAGGGTGCGTGGCTGTCATTTTCCGAATTTGACTTTTTGAAGCAAGAACTCAAAGACCCAGCAGAATTGATTCATTAGCTGAATCAACGTGTGGATCTCTTCCTGCCTCCACGTTCGGTGCCTAAGGAAGCCAAAGATCTTCCTGCCTTCATATTGGCATCGCCCGGACGGTAGCAAACATGTGTTTGCCATGCCATATTCGGCAGGGGGCCTCGTAACAAGATTCCAGGCTTGGCCAAAATAATCCTCCTCCGACAACAACCAGCCGACAAAGCGACGGACCATCCAAGGCTACATGCAGCAAGCAAACTAGCCGACCGAGAGGAAACTGCTTCGATATGTTGCAATCGCCGAGCCTCAAGATTTTCTGCAATACCCGTCCGAGATCTAGCGGGTCTAGCAGTCGTATAATCATATATTTAATGGTTTGATCAGCTTTAGCCTTTAGCTCATTCATGAGCTGGAGCTCTCAGAAGATGCTGGATGCCGCGGCCAGATCTCGCGGATATGGTTGCCACTCACTGCTTCGGTTGCCCCCTCATTGGAATTAATTTTCGCCGCTGCCAAAGATGCCATCTTGCTTGCTCGGGAAGCCTCGCAAAGCTAAGATCCGAATGCTGCCCAAGCAACAGCAGCGGAGCATCCGTGCTATGCTCAACACGTCAAGTCTCCCGAACCCGTGCGTTCATTAGAAGGGTCAAGGAAGCGCCAGGTACCTCCTTGGTAAGATGGGGTTGCCGCCCGGGTCCCCCGGGATCGCCCTCGAAAAGCTTAGGTGGGCAGTTGTCGAATCTCCCAGTTTCTCCACCGAGCGTGGGCAAGTCGACGAATCGCCATTCCCAGGACTAGAAGTGGCCTGGCACTTGCCGTTTACAAGCCGCTGATGAGGCGCGAACGCCTTGCTGTTGCTGTAGCCCTTGGCCGTTGATGGTCTGCATCACCAGTAGCTCCCCGCATGCTTTGCCCGGCCCCTTCGACCCATCGATCCGTCGCATTCCATGACTGCTGGTACTGAGCAACGTGAGCCAAACACGATTAGGAGCGTTGACGCACGTGCCCGATGCAGGTAAGGAAACGGCTACATGCCGCCACTCCCCGCTGCCCAAACTCGAGCTTGACCAGAGCTTTGCAAATGAGAGGAGATGCGAGCCGCAGCCGCAGCCAGAACTTGTAGTTTCACAAGAGAAGGCTTGGCCAGCAATTTGAGAATTAGAGTTAGGAGGAAGGGGGGCGGGCCCGGGAGTGTGGGGGGGGCGCCTGCAGAGGCACCTTCTTGGCCGGCTGGAGCCACTCCAAGTCCTCCCCAGAGCACTGAGCATGGCGGCACTCTGCAGCGGCCCGTGCGCTCAAACCGGCTCCTCCTTGCAGAGCGAGGCCTCTCCCTGCTCCTCCGCAAGTCCAAGAGCTGAGACGTCGCCATGACGCTGGCAGCTGGCGGCTGCAAGGCCTTCTTCAAGCGGCGCTGGGACGTCGATCGCTTCACCTGCAGACTGCAGAGCTCGCTAAGCCGCAAGGCACCCTTCCTTTTGCGCCCAGCAGAGCGCAAAGCCTCCAAGCCGGGGGCGCCTGCGCCTGCCTCGACCTCGAAACCAAACGCCCAACACAAAGGCCGAGCCGCCCCCACTCGAAGATTTCCAAAAACAGCACGGAGAGCCGCAAAGGTCTGGGCCTTCTTCGTGCGGCGTTTGGATTTGGCCTCTGCGCAAGTCGCTGCTCCGAGGTCCTAGGTCCCGGTGCTCCCTCCGTCGTCGCGCCTCTCCCGACTTGGCGGAGCCAGCCTTGGCCTCCTGGAGCCCAGCACGAAGCGCAGGAGGCTTGTGCTTCCGCCACGTCTCGCCGTGTGCCGCCGTGCCTTGGCCTTCTCGCTGTCGTTTGGTGCCTCTCCGCGAAAGAAGGGCGCGGCGCGACGACAAAAGAGCGGAGCAGAGTTGCGACGTGTGGAGCGGATGTGCACGTGCAATGTGCGGCGGGTGCGCCTCGCGGCCATGGCCCACTTCCTCGGCTGAGTCAGTCAGAGTCGGGTTGGGTTCTGCCTTCTTCTCTGCTCTGCGCCCGCCGAGCGGCGATCACCGTGGAGGGCAGGTTCTGCACCGCTGCCGAGGCCGCGGAGGCCGCGGAGGCCGCGGAGGCCGGGGAGGCCGGGTCCGCTGGGTCCGAGGCCGAAGCCGCCGAAACCGCCGAAGCCGCAGAGACCGAGGCCACCGAGGCCACCGAGGCTGCGGAAGCCGACGCCGCGGAAAGCGAGGAGTCCTCCTTGACGACTTTGCTCGCGTTGCTCGTGACCGGGGGGTTTCCGTTGCCAGTGCTGTTCGCACGCACCTCGGCGCCGGATCTGAGGCTCGGAGAGCTGATGAGAGCTGAGGAGAGCTGCGAGAGAGAGAGAGAGAGAGATGGAGAGTCATCTGAGATGCCCTAGGGCCCTACGTGTAGGAGGTGCGCTGCCGCGCTGCCTCTACGGCTCGTCTCTCTGAGGCTGCGGCGTAGTGTGGCCGGCTTTGGGCCAGCGGAGCTGCCTTTGCCTTCCCGGAGCCCACGGGCACCCCGTCGCCGCAAGAAGCCTCCGAACCGATGTGCGCAAGATGAACAGCGACGTGATGCGACGTGTGCTTTTCGTCTCCGGCCGAGGCTGCGCTTGTGTCGTCCCGCTCTCCCGTGTCGGGCCTCATCTGGCGTCACATCCTGAGTCAAGGGGGGAAGGGACTGGGCCTTCATTAGGGAGTACTCGTAGCTGCTCTTTTGAATTTGCGCCTCCAGTGTGTGCTAGTCACAACATCCTCCCTTGTGTCTGAGGATCCAGGACTTCGGGCTTGGACCGAGCGCGGCGTGCGCGAAAGAAACGAAGTCACCGTGTGTCACAAGAAAAGAAGCTGCGCAATAGAAGCACTCTGGACTCTAGAGGGCATACGGGCAGCATAGGGGCTGTGATAGAGATGTCAGGCCTGTGCTGTGCTGTCCCCTCTGCTCTGGCTCTGGGGCAGCGGCGTTTCCGGAACCGGCGCAAGTGAGGTTGCCGAAGCAGTCGAGGACATAGGTCCCCGGGAAATGGACTCGGTAGGTCTCCAGTGCGAAGGGCAGCTGGACCTCCAACGAAATCAGACGAGACGAGCACGAGCAGTCACGAGCACTTGCTCCGCGGCTCGAGCGGAGCCCGAGCCTTGGCAGGGGCGCCGCGTGCCACACGGCCCTTCTGCACTTCCCAGTAGACCTGCAGAGGCGCCCATGGTGAACCGATGTGGAATCGAAGCGCAGAGGCTGCTCCGCTGCTGTCTCGAGCACGGCGTGGCCGACCCGAAGACCCGAACCGCGCACGCGTCCGCTCTCCGCTTCGCACTCCGCGCTCCGCGCCTGGAAGGCGCTGGGCCAGGTGGGCAGGCGCGCCGACAAGGAAGCCGAGGAGTCGGAGGCGAAGCGCGTCACCTCCACGTAGTTGCTGGAAAGAGAAGAAACGAAGTGAAAGCGTGGCTCAGCCGCTGCAAGGCACCGCATTGTGCTCTGCTGGCCTCCGTGGTCGGGCTCTCTGCCATCCTGAGAAGCGTGGGATGATAGCGTCCCTTTTTCCCCTCTCTAGAATCGAGACGGAGCCCGAGTGGAGTCTCCAGAGTCCGAGCGGCCTTAGTCGCAGCTCCGCCGCGGGGAAAGGCCAGGCGGAGGTCGGCCCCGTGCCCAGACGCACCTCGCGGCTTAGACGACGCTGAGACTGTGTCAAAGCAGGCTGTCGCAGGCCACTCGGCCATACTCGGCCACTCTCCTCCGCATTCCTCCGCCCTCCGCCCGAGGCCCACACCAAGACGCCCCCTTCCAGCAGGGACTCTCTGACAAGGACCTGCCGCCAGGCGTTCCCCTTTCCGCTTCGTCGCTTCGTTTCCAGGTTTCCAGTGGCCTGGACACTGCGGCTGGGGAGGCAAAGCCTCGCCGAGCAGCACCTGCGATGCGGCGATGCGGAGCCTTGACCCCGGCGGGGCTATGGCCGGGCCCCGCCACCCCGCCTGGAGTCGCAGCCGTCGGCTGCAGGCAGCGTCTCGGTAGACAGCCGACCCTGGCCTCAGATTTGTTTCGGGGAGAAGCCATCTCGGCGCCTCGACACTGAGCCGTCGACCACCGAAGCGGGCTTCATCCGAGTTCAGCCTTCGAGACGCTAGACGTGACAAGCAAAGTGTGTAAGCTCCAGTCCTGCCCTTCCCTTCGTGACATGGCGCTGTCGCTGGCAGTGCTAGGCCGGTGTGCTGCCGAGGGGCACCACTCGCAAACCTTCCTTCCAAGGATGCCCCACGCGGTACTCCTGTGACACGGCGTTGCAAAGAGCACTGCATGGCAAAGAGCACCTCCGCCAGCTCCTCCCAGCTCCTCCCTAGGCCGCTCTCAAGTCGCCCCCCCCCCCTCCCCCTTTTGGGCTTCGCTCCGCATAGGAGCGCGTGGGGTGGAAGTTGAAAGCAAAGAGGCCTCAGCCAAGCAAAAAGGGGACACGGCACCGTCCTAGGTTCCCAAGCTTCTAAAGAAGTATGCCGCAGCCGAGCTGCAGTCGCCGCGTTCCAGTATCAGCACCTTGTCGGAGTCGTCCTGAAAAGCCGGAAGCACGCTGGGTCGTCCTTCGTCCGTGGCCTTCTAGCGGCATCCTGCGCCCTGGCCTTCCGTGAAACGAGGGAGTCGGAAGCTGTGGCAAACCTGAAGAGCTCAGAGCTTCGCTCTCAGAGCTCTTTGCTGAGCTTTCGTGGTGCTTTGAACTTTGGGCTCCGAGCTGGAAGCGCCCTTCTAAGGCCAGCATGGCCTCGTCGAAGGCCTGGCAGCGCGAGCACTCCACGTGCAGCTACTGGCTACTATAAACCCCACACCGCGAGAGTGGGCAAAGGGCAGAGCCTCGAGGAACTCGGCGCAGCTGGGAGAGCTTGAGTCGCTCTGCAGGCGCCCCTTCTTCGCACCTGACGTGGGCTGGCGGACGCCACGACGGGTCTCGCTCCCGCCCTCCGTTGCCCTTTTCTGAGCGCCAGGCTGACTTCCGAAAGACTCAAGGGCTCCAGGCAACCGAACTCATTCCCCATGAAGCTCAAGTAGCCCTGGCTGTGGAACGTACCCAATGCCACTGACCATAAACGTTCGATGACAAAACCGCTACTGGGATTACGAGCAAACCGTTTGTGCCTACGTTGGTCGAGGTAATGGGGAATGGGGAAGCAGTGGTGTGAGTAGTGGTATGTTTATGTTGGGGGCAATTGTACGGGGGAGTTCAGAGTGATCGGGGAATAAGTGGACTGGTGGTAGAACAGTGGTTTTCTCCTGTGGTAGTACGCTGACGGTTTGCGTGCAGATAGCTGTCCTTTGCACTTGCTGTAAAAGGTGCGCATGCCCAAAGCGTCAACAGCAGAGCGCGTTCGAACCTATCGGAGTTTGTAGAAAGCAATGGTGACTGTGCCTTTGCACGGAAGATTGAGATTGCTTGTTTGAGGCAGGACCTTCGGAAAAAAACGGGTCGGACCCCCTACCAAGTTGGGATTCCAAAATCAAGAGACGAGGAGTCGGACACATGAAGCAAAGAGCTGAGCAACTCTGAGGCAGCACGTCCCAAGGGCAGACGGGAAGACGGAAGAAAAGGGGGGAAGAGGCAAACAGGTAAGGCCAAAAGCGATCGCAAACTTGATTCAATCAAATCTGGTCGGGCAAGCCTTTCTCGAAATCTGACTCGTCCAACTGCTTCGGATACTATTGATTTCATATTTCTGAAGGTCTGTTGCTGTCTCAATGATTGTGTCTCTGATCTGCTCTCTGTATACCAGGCGTCTTTCAACGACTTCGTCGTTACAAGTAGCTGGCTGTGTGCTTGTTTTTCTGTATCTCTTACTGTGAAAATGACACGTTGTCCTCCACCCCAGACTTTGCCAACACCGCGTTGGCTCAAGATCACGTTAATTATGCAAGAGAAAGTGAGAAAGGCGTCGGTAAACATTCAGAGTTACTTTGCTTCGCAGTTGAGTTTAGGGTAGTTTGTTGTGCATTCTAGTATGCCGTACATTCGCATGGTTGCGAAACTGAAAGCTCCAAGGAACTTTGGATAGAAGACATGGTGCAGCAGACTTTGCAAAAAAGCTTCGGCATCCTTTGCCCGAGGCTTTTAGCGGCAATACTGCCGATTGGGAAAAAACGGTCTTGGATTTTTAAAGCTGCTTACATATCCATTTTCGTACAGGTGCTGTAACTTTGCTTGGCAGAGCTGAATTGATGAATGATGAGTTTACCGATGAAACTTTGGAGGTGCAATTTGACACCGGTGATCCCGATGTGGAACAATCCGCGAACAGAGTACTTTCTCTCGGAACCTTCATTATCTAGCTTCACAAGTTGTATGAGATTTGGCGAAACTTATTGTTCGGCAGAACGAAGATGCCAACGGCTTTGAAACATGGCGCAGACTTTAGAGGAAGTTCTCGCTGCCAGGAGCCACAGATATGAAAAACAGGCAGGCTCATTTTTGCCGGATGGTGTCTTGGATGCAACTTTGCGGAATCAGACGACAGGAGCTTTGCAGCAACATCTTCGATTGCATGCACGAACTTTGCAGACTTATGCTGATCCTTGAGCATCATAGGTCAAGACTGTTGATGAACCCAGTAGCACAAACTTCGGCCAATGCAGCTTTTCAGGGGCGGAGCCACGGCTCCGATGGACATTGGAGCCTTAGCAGCAGCTTTGTCTAAAGGAAAACGAAAGAAAGGATACGGAAAGGACTTTTCAACGTCACAAGGAAAAGGATATGCTGGAAACCAGCATTGGAACTTTATGAAAGTTGAAGCCCACAACTCCATTCGTCATCCCATCAACTCTGAACGTGTTCCCCAAGCCAAAGTTGCCAAGAACAAGAGCCGACATGAGCAAAGTGCTCGGGCTAATTTCGCCTGTGCTTTCGGTTTAGCTTTGGGGTCTGAAAGTCTTGGTGGTGGTCGTTGCAAAGTCACAACTGACACGGGCAAACCACTGGACGAATCTTCCTTAGCGGCCTGCCAAAGCTTTGGCCCCCGAATCAAAGTCCGAAGACCAACCCCACGGATTCCAGGAATCCCAACAATCCTAGACTGCTGTCGTTGTAAAGTTGGTTCACGGCGTTGTTCACCCACTCGGTCCATTCAGACCAGTCATCAGACTCACCACAGTGAGTCTAATCCGTCGTGTCCTGCGGTGGATAAAGTTTGGTCCTGAACTCCCACCAAACCGAAGTAGAGCCATGGCCCACTTGAGACTTCTCCTTGAAGGGTCTCACGGATGAGGACCAACGACTCTTCAGTGTTAGTGATCTTGGTGTTAGGAATTTGATGCGACTTTCAAGGATGTTGCTCTGGAAGAGCATTTGGTGGCATCTACTTTAGGGGCGCGAACACCGCATAGCGCGGATTGCGAATGCCCCCAGAACTCCGTAGTATAGCCCCTTGGGGAAATGGAGTTCGCCATGACCGACGAGGACGTTGTTCATGACGATGTGCTCAAGTGTCGATGCTGATTGTCTATGGTGCTGTTTCGCTCCGGGCTCTTCGGGAGTTTCTGCAGCTGCGTTTGAATGTCAACTTGGCGGGGAGGCGGTCCGATATTCGCAGGTTGGCGATGATCGCTGCTGATGAGCTTTGCTCCGGCAGCAAGCAAGCTGCCGCTTATGCACCTGTTTGGGAGGTGCTGCCCACGCATGTATGCCTGGGTGTAACCAAGGCATCGGATAGCATCAGGGAGTCAGGCAACCAGGAGCGTGGCCGATGTCTGTTCTCTTTCCTGAGTGATATCGGGGATGCCGCAGGCGATGTGGAGGATGGGCTACATTCAAATCGGTGGCATGATAGCCCAACCGGGAATACATGCTGTGGTTTGCAATCCGACGGACAGCTGCCTTCGGACAGGGTGGTCGGCGGCGGTGTGGCCGGTGCACAACAACAGGGCCCATGCGGTATGATGGTCGATGTTGGGCCTATGGCTGTGCGCACAGGGGCCTGGCGGCAGGGGTCCCATACAGAGCTTGTCTTGTTCGGGAAGGAGGATGCTGCAAACGATTTCGCTCGCAGGTGTTTGTTCGTTGGCCCAGCCCTGGATCGGAGTAACAACAGCTCTTGGCTTCAGGAGGGACAAGTGCGCTCAGATAGGACTCTGGGAGGTGAAAATGCTGGCAAGAGCGCCTCAGTATCTGGCTTGGGGTTTCCTCTGCCGCTGCGTCCAGCCGCCATGCGCTGCTTGGGGAGTGAGCATTGCATGGCTTGCCGTGAGATGAGTGGTCAGCGGATGTACGGTAAGACAATTGGCACACAAGCTGGCTTGCAACACCAGCTATGAGGGTAAGCTTCACTGGTGTTGCTCCCATGTTCCCGTTGGTTTTGTGCTGTGATGCGGACTTGCAGACACAGCTTCTCAGGCTTGCACCACGGTGCCGTCTTGAGTCATTTATGCGAGTGGGGGACAGCTTTTAGCATTCGCGAAGCGACGTGCGCTGGTTAAATCCCTCCCGCTTGGCAGATTGCTGTGCCAGGGGCGCAATACGCATCCTGAGTACATACTGCCGGTAACCGTTGAATTCATTTTTGCTAGAGGTACGCTCTCGGAGAGCTTTGCACCTACTGAAGAAGAAGGCATCTACTTTGGAGGATTCGGAGCCCTGGATTCAGGCGCCGCACAATGCTGTCCGAAGGACTTTGCTTCTGAATGGCCACTTTTGCCACTCACAACAAAAACTCCATCTTCGAAGAGCATTTCAGGCCAACCTTTGACGGTCTATGGAAGGAGACTTACTTGTGAAGCTTGACTTTGAGTTTGAGCCCTGCTTCTTGCACGATTACGTCTGCGACGTTCCGTGCTGTGTGGTGGTTTCTGTTCGCAGACTTTCGAAGTCAGGATTTGATGTGAACTTCTGTTCTATTAATCCGAACGCACTTTCAACTCCTGATGGACACAAGGTGCCCACTTGAGTTTGGGACCGTATGCAACACTTTTCACAGCACGAGTGCACAAGGTACCTAAGTGGCCCCAACCTTTCGCACCCCGTTCTACCATCATACTGATAGATTGGAACTCTCAGGAAACACTTTGACTCGAACTGACATTCGGACGAGAGCAACTCGCTTTTCTCCTGAAAGGGTTGGAGATCGCCCTGTAGACTTGAAAGACTTTGCAGATCATCGCGTAACTCGCTTTGAGTACGCAAATGTCAGAGAAGAGTCTTAGACTGACGTAAGGATGAGACTCCTAAAGGACTTTCCCCCGAACGCCTCGTTAACAACACTGTTTTCAATCAGTTTTCAAACTTGCTTCCACCACTGCCCGCAAGCTCGCTGGACAACAGTCAAGTTTACCTCAACCTGAACCTGCCCGACCAGCCCAACAAGAACAGCAGCAAGCACAGCAACAACAAGCAATTTCAGTAGAAGCCCACAACCACTTTGCGTCTGCGTTTGAAGCACAGGCAGCCCCGAAGACAATCGAAGGCTGTGCTCGAGCATCTCTCAGAGAAGGACCCGGCAACAGGCCAACCGTGCACGCACGACTTGTGGCCTGACTTTCCGTCTTGTTGGGTGCGTGAGCACTACGAAGAGCGGCTTGAAGATCCGCAACTTGAAGAGCAGCTTGGAAACATTCGCATGTCTTTGGTTGTAAGGCGCGATGCGGAAGAGGCGTCCGTGTGGCTCGCTGACGTTTGGAACCAAGCTGGCGCCACTGTGATCGGTGCACGTTTTGTCGGCGCAATTTGTCTTGAGATAGCAGACTTGCAACTTGTGGAGTGCGAGCCAGAGGGGCCGGAGTACGTTGGGCGTCGCCCGCGCGGCTTGAAACAGCGAGCCAACTTTGACCGAGCGTCTTGAGCACGAGTTGACGCACTTGCCTTTTAAGCATTGGTGTGAAGTTCGTGTCTAGTGCGTGACGTTGCTGAGGAAGCCTTGCAATTTGACTCGGTCACCTCACCGAAGATCTTCGCCCACATGAGTTGTCCGAATCCGCGGTTCAGGGCTTGCGTCTCTGCCGCCAGGGTTGACGGCACTTTTCTTCTCAGCTTTCCGGACTTCCACCACAGTTGGGAGCACCTAGCAGACGCTCCGGAGCACAGGTCCACGTCGTAGGCCAGGACGCCCACAGCGCCTTGTGAGGAACCGTCCCTTGTAGTTGCCACCCCGAAGCGCAGGCGATCCAAAGGATCGGGTAGTAGATCCTCCACCTCGAGATGCCTCACTGCCTCCCCGGCCACTCCGATGAGCGACTGCACAAGCTTCGGACCTCGTTTCGCTGCCGGCACAACGGTGACAGATTCCCACAGTTGGAGGTCCTTGAGGACAGGCTTTAGGGTGGACTGTGGTTTCTCGTCGCTCCAGGTCGAAGGCGGGTCTCTGTCTCTGTAGACAAAGCCTCCGAGGTCTGCAGTGCTTCTGGCCATCTCTCTCAGAGGTAGTCGCCAGCCTTGCAGGGGCTGAGGTCTCGAAACTCAGGAGCAAACAGGTAAGCCCGATAATCTTCCTGGATCGTAACATGCTCCGGTGCCAACTGGCAAAACGGAGTGGCGCGGCAAAGCCGTGAAGCGAAACAATGGCTCGATGCTACAGTCTTTTCCTCCAAGAGGCACGGCAGCCTTAAGCCCAAGGGGACCTTTCAGTGCAGACACACGTGAGCACAGGAAGTATGCTGAAGCCTAGGCGCTGGTACGAAACTCGCAACAGGGCCATGGAAAGGAGTGACCGTGCCACGATGACACGTCCTGGGCGCTGGAGCTGGAGAAGGGTGTGGGCCCCGAGAGCATTTGTGCGGGATGGGCGGGAGCGCAGCATTTAGTTTTGACGCTGTCGTGGAGTGACTCCGACTTTCAAGCACTGTTGCTCTGATGCCTCCGAGATTCGGTGAAAGCCGGAGGTGTTGTGACTCGGGAGTTCTGATCCACTGAAGGTTCGAGATCGGCCCGTGATCCCTGAAGCTTCAAAAACGTGAACTCTTCCAGGAGCCTCTGGATTGTGACTTTGCTTGGCAGCAATCTCCGACAGTCTCCGTAATGCCCAAAGAACGGTTTGCTCTTGGATTCCCGGCTTGACCTTGTTCTTCTCTCTGCAAAGTTGCATCTGTTGCATCAGTCATCGAACGCTTCAACTTTATGCAGGACTTGATATCCACTGCGCCATCTTCGTTCAACCTCTGCCGTGTTCATGCTCTATATACGCATTGCCTAAACATTTCTTCGACTCATGTCCTTCCATCACTGTACCTTTTCATTCAATCTAGACTCTAGGCAATCGCAACATGTTGCGGAGTCTCCACCCAGCATGTTTCGCAAGGAAATATCCAGTGCGTGCGGGCTCAGTGGCCGCAGATGGCCATGCGCTGGATTGCGCCGATTGCGCTGGAATGCGCCGAATGGGTTGGAATGCGCTGGAAAGCACCGATTGCGCCGAATTGCGCCGATTGCGCCGAATTGCGCCAATTGCGCCGAATTGCGCCAATTGCGCCGTCTGCGCCGAATTGCGCCGAATTGCGCCGATTGCGCCGAATTGCGCCGATTGCGCCGAATTGCGCCGATTGCGCTGGAATTGCGCTGGAATTCTGCCTATTGACAGCCTGGCACACAGGCAATACTACCCTGTGGCTGTTGCAGCCTGGTTGTGTCCTTGGTTTTGCAGCCTGCCCTGTCGTACCAGGTTTTTGTGGCTCATTGCTGGCAGCAGTTCCCGCAGTCCTGCGATTTCTCTTCAACTGTCAGTCAGAGAGAGTTTTTACATTTCACGTGTTGTTCTTGCATCCTATTCAGCGGTTTTTTTGGCGAACGACCACGAATCTCGACTCAATTGACGTGCTCTTGTGCGTGCACCCGGAATTTTACGCGCACTTCGGAACTGTTTTGGGTTTGTTATTGTGTCTTTGTTCTTCTGAAAGTCTTCTGAAATCTATGACTACCGACCGATTCTTGAGTCAGAACCCTGACAGGTCTTGAACTCCGAGGGTGGGGCCTTGGACTCTGATGGAGCGGGGCGCCCCTGATTTTTAAATCAGAACCCTTACAGATCCTTGAACTCCGAGGGTGGGGCTTTGGACTGATGGGGCACCCCTGATTCTTAAATCAAAGCTTTGACAGATGTTGAACTCCGAGGATGAGGACTTGGACTGATGGAGCGCCCATGATTTTCAGATCGCCTCTTAGTGAGCTTGAACTCCGGGGGTGGGGCCTCGGACGCCCCTGGTTTTTTTGATCAGAACTCTTTCAAAACTTGAACTCCGAGGGTCGGGCCTTGGGTTGCTGGGGCACCCCTGATTTCTAAATCACAACCCTTACAGATCTTGAACTCCGAGGGTGGGGCCTTGGACTCTGATGGAGCGGGGCGCCCCTGATTTTTAAATCAGAACCCTTACAGATCCTTGAACTCTGAGGGTGGGGCTTTGGACTGATGGGGCACCCCTGATTCTTAAATCAAAGCTTTGACAGATGTTGAACTCCGAGGAGGAGGCCCTGGACTGATGGAGCGCCCATGATTTTCAGATCACCGCCTCTTAGTGAGCTTGAACTCCGGGGGTGGGGCCTCGGACGCCCCTGGTTTGTTTAATCAGAACTCTTTCAAATCTTGAACTCCGAGGGTGGGGCCTTGGACTCTGATGGAGCGGGGCGCCCCTGATTTTTAAATCAGAACCCTTACAGATCCTTGAACTCCGAGGGTGGGGCTTTGGACTGATGGGGCACCCCTGATTCTTAAATCGAAGCTTTGACAGATGTTGAACTCCGAGGAGGAGGCCCTGGACTGATGGAGCGCCCATGATTTTCAGATCACCGCCTCTTAGTGAGCTTGAACTCCGGGGGTGGGGCCTCGGACGCCCCTGGTTTTTTTGATCAGAACTCTTTCAAAGCTTGAACTCCGAGGGTCGGGCCTTGGGTTGCTGGGGCACCCCTGATTTCTAAATCACAACCCTTACAGAGCTTGAACTCCGAGGGTGGGGCCTTGGACTCTGATGGAGCGGGGCGCCCCTGATTTTTAAATCAGAACCCTTACAGATCCTTGAACTCCGAGGGTGGGGGCTTTGGACTGATGGGGCACCCCTGATTCTGAAATCAAAGCTTTGACAGATGTTGAACTCCGAGGAGGAGGACTTGGACTGATTGAGCGCCCATGATTTTCAGATCACCGCCTCTTAGTGAGCTTGAACTCCGGGGGTGGGGCCTCGGACGCCCCTGGTTTGTTCCACACACTCGTTTTGAGGGTTGGATCCTTGGGGGCTGGATCAGGGGGGTTTGAAGGCCAAAACCAATTTCCTCAATAGTGCAGTTCAATATACCGATTTAAGGTTTCAAGCTGTTGTAGTATTAGCTTATTTATGTA